CACTGCCGCCACCACCATGTTCTTTCTATGGCTCTAATAGCTCTGACCCCTGGGCAACTTTATTTATTATCATACAATGAAAATCACATTTCAGTACAAAAAAAATACCACCATAGTAGTGTTACTTGCTATTTCTCCCAGCACTTGAGATGCAGAGGCCGGCAGATCTGTGAGTCTGAGGCCTGCCTGGTCTACAGAGTGAGTTCCTACGACAGCCAGGTCTGTTACATAGAGAAACCCTGTCTAGAAAAACAAAAACAAACAAAAAGAGTTGCCTTGCTCATAGTCCGTCACAGCAAGGGAAGAGTCAGTAAGATAGGTTATGTACGACTTTGTTATATTATGTCTGTATTCTCCACATGCCCTGGGAAATCAAGTCAGGCTAAATGAAAGAGTAATATGCTGTGGAATATTATCTTAACTGGACAAAGATTTGTTACCTTTGTTTGTGATGTGGAATGTTATCTCATGTGAAGGTGTTATATTTGTATCTGCTGCATTTGTTTAATGATGCAAGGATGTGTTACCTTTGTTTATCCTGCGTTTGTTTAATTATGAAGAGATGTGTTGCTGTTTCACCTTGCCTGTCTAAGGCACCTGAGTGGTCTAATAAGAAGCTGAATGGCCAATACCTGGGCAGAAGAGGGATACACAGGGCTGGTGGGCAGAGAGAATAAACAGGAGCAGGATCTATGCTCCAGAAGAAAGAGAGGGAGGAAGAAAGGAGAGAATGAGGGGGAAAGAGAGGGACACAACCAGGGCCAGGAGCCTGGCAGCCCCCAGGAAGACCTGGAGACAGGAAAGATATACAGAAAGAATGAAAGGTACAAAGCCCAGGGGCGTAAGGCAGATAAAGAGAAACAGGTTAATTTAAGTTGAAAGAGCTAGCCAGACGTGAACCTAAGCTAGGCCAAGCATTCAAAACTAATAATAAGTCTCTATGCCATGGTTTGGGAGCGTGCTGGTGTCCCCCTAAAATTGCCTGGTACATTTGGTGTTTCACTGTGGGGCATAGAATTTCCACATACAGCCTGAGAAAGCTGAAGAAAAACTAAAAAGAAAACAACAACAACAACAACAAAAACTGGATACAGCTCCTTTAAGAAGTTCTGCCTTACAAAGAGCATTTAAACAGCCTTTTCACCTGTGCACAATCAAACAGTATTGGACTATCACATAATATGGGGATCTTTGAAATCAGACTAAATGCATTTTACATCATGGTTTGACTTGAGCCTGTCATGACCTGTGTCAAAATGTTGAGGGTTGAATGAAAAATCTTTCATGTAGTGTGCTGACTTTGAGCATTTGTCTTTGGTGTGAGCCTTCATTGGTGACTTACAATAACAATTGTGACTTAGATTCATAATTGGTGACTTCTCCTTAGGAGTAGGATCCTTTCTGGAGGACTATAGTCTCACCACATTTCTTTGTTTTGTTGAAAGTGAGCAGCCCCCTTCCTTCTCATGTAGGCATGCCTTCAGCAGCAGTAGAGACTCCATTCTGAAATAATGTAATGTAAAGTAGAAGCAATTGCTTTTCCTTGCCAATCCATATTTCTTGCCTGATATTTTTATGTTTATATTTTTGGCAGCTTGAATCAGGTTTTTGTACATGTCAGGCATTTGCTCTTGTGCTGAACTTTACCCATGTCATGACTTTGAACTTTGGCATTGGTGTCATTTTTCAGAGCAAGAATGCATTCATTCATGAAATTAATAGTGATCTCCTGAATCACTGAATTGTCGGTGTGTAATATTGTCCCTACCTTTGTATATGTTTTTACACTTCCATATTGTTTTGAAATGTGTGGTCTTATCTGTTGACACATCTGTCTATACTCTGTCCCTTTTTGTGTTTGTTTTACTGTTTTAGGATCAGCATTTACTTTACTAATGTTCTTGAGAACTCATTGATCTGCCAGACAGCAACTTAATAAAAATGCTTTGCTTCCTGGGAATTATTAGTCTTATATTTCAATAGACAATTATCGAACTGGCATGAATGTTTCAGTCTATAGAGAAATTTTAAGCAAGGCCTGAGTGCTTATTGTTTTTTTTTTGTTGTTAGAGACAGCGTCTCACTATGTACCTTTGGCTATCCTGGCAATCTCTCCATAAACCAAGCAGGTTTGGAAATCACAAATTTTACCTGTCTCTGCATCCCAAAGGTTGGAATTAGAGTTGTGCACCACCCACCCTTATTTTCCACCCTTTCTTGAACTTAATAATTTTGATAAAGTTCTGCTGATGTATACTAGATAGACAGTGTTACTCTGTTTGCATGTCTCTCTGTATATATTCCTAGGCGTTTCTCCTGCTGTGCCGTAATCTATTCTGTGGACAGTGGAATGGAAGGTGTCATTCTCTCTTGATGTTTCCTTTCAAAATGAGTTGGTGACTGCACTTGATATGAACTCACCCATGTCATAGAATGTATCAAGCACACAGAATTATGTAAATATATTCTCAATGAAGTGTACATTTAATGTAGTCAGTCTCACCATTTCTATTATGTACATATATGGGATATTTTAGGATGCAGTGACCTATGAGGATGTGCATGTGAACTTCACTCATGAAGAGTGGGCTTTGCTGGATCCTTCCCAGAAGAGTCTCTACAAAGATGTGATGCTAGAAACCTACTGGAACCTCACCATTGTAGGTAAGAATGTGAGCTTTCTGTCAGTTTTTAACTTAAGGGAAGAAGCCTTTCTTGGAGATTGGTGCTTTCCTATAGTTTTGAATGTTAAAGAAGAAAATATCTGGTGAATATATCAGGCATTGTTCTAAGGTTCATGAAAGACATTAATTTCAATTGTTCCTAATTTCCAGTAATATATCACATTTTCTGGTACTGTATTTTAGGGTACAAATGGGAAGACCACAATATTGAAGAACATTATCAAAATTCTACAAGACATGGCAGGTAATTTTCATGTGCAAGCTGATATATATGTATGTCTGTGATAAGTATTTGATTTCTGGTTGCTGGGTTCCTCCATCACTGATGCAATAAGTCTAATCAAACCAAATTAATAAATCCAGATTTAATAAACAGAGCATAGCAAAGCAGAGCACTCCAGGGGCTTTCAGGAAGTCAGGAGACAGAACAGGGGAACACCCATGCAGATCTATGGGCCAGGTCTTAAATAGCCAGTAGGCATGGGCATGGTCCCAGGCATCTCTGGGGGGAGGAGCCACATATGGTGGTTTTTGTGGAATGAGGCCCCCTCAGCTGTAGATTATAAACATCCCAAATTTTTGGGTATATGTGGGTGCAGGTTCAAGTCTGTGTACTTCCTGTTAGCATGGGACCATGTAGGGAGGGGGAAGGTTCAAGTCAGGTGGAACCATGCTCAGCAAGGGTATGGGTGGAGAAGCATTTGGATAGCTGCCATCCAGGAGGCCTCAGGCATCTGTTCTTGAGGAGGCGGAGAATGCGGGTTTCTAGGAGAAAAAACAATAGCTTTTTTATCACTGGCCTTACAAACAGGGATAGCCATTGGTAGTAGGAAGAATGATAGAAAGAATGGAACTGAGAAGTGTCCTGATTGTACAGAAGAGTCAAGGGTGAATGAGTGAGGCATGAGGGCAGATATGCCCTTAATTGGGACATCTTGGAAAACAAGGTTTCAGTTGATGGGTAGGTGCTCACTTTTGCCTGGAGAGGTGGTACCAGCAGGGAAGTCCCAGGAGCTTGGGGAGATGGCATGCTAAATCTAGGGATGATGTATTCCAGGATTACATCTGCTGTTTTTCTGGAGGTTGGGAGAGCATCCATCCTATAAATGTGTCATAAGAGTTAAGAGATGGGCTGGAGAGATGGCTCAGAGGTTAAGAGCACTGACTGCTCTTCCAGAGGTCCTGAGTTCAGTTCCCAGCAACCACATGGTGGCTCACAACCATCTGTAATGAGATCTGGTGCCCTCTTCTGGCCTGCAGTCATACATGCTGTATACATAATAAATGAATATATAAATCTTTAAAAAAAGAGATAAGAGATATGGAGCCTTTTTATGAGCAGGCATGTGGGTGAAATCCACCTGTTAGTACTTGTCCAGTTGGCATCCTTGGTTGGTGGTTGGCACCCTCAGAGCTGTTCCAGGAGCTGGTGTATCTGCAGGGCCCCCTGTGGGTTTGGCCTTGGCCCAGGCAAGAGGAGTGAACCTACAGAATATGCTCCAAAATTGGTGGGGTCAAAAATAGGCTCTGGAAATAGAAATTAATTTCCACTAAGTCAGACTTCTTTATAAACTTCCAGAGCCCTTTCCCCAGGATCCTTCAGGTGTCTGTAAAACTACTGGAACAGATTCACATCTTGGTGTCATAGTACAAAGCTATGGCTTTGCGTTAAATGGCATGAATATTTTTAAGTCTCAATTCACTGTAGAAAGGAGGTTGTGTGAGTGAAGGAGGAGGGAATTGAACATGCCTGCAGGGATCTATATCCTCTCTAATGCTAACCTAGCTCTAAAAGGTGGACCAGTAAAATCTACAGAAGTTTAAGGAACCCTGAGAACTGTTTGTAATCAATTTTTTATCAGTTTGTCAAAAGTGCATTTATCAAACCTAAAACTTTGAACCTCTGAAGTTATATCTGAAACCAGTTTATCCTGTACCATGGAGTCTGGGAATGAGGCCCACCTGTCTTTATTTGTAACAGGAAATGTACTAATGAATTACTAAAGTGCTTGTAGCCTTGAGATTGGGGGTGCTGTTGAACTGGCAAATCTATTAGTACCCTAGTCATCAAACATCATCAAATCAGAGAAGGATAAGTAAATGAGCAGGAGTGAGCCAGCTTTCCAGTTACCCAGGTAGTTCCAAGTCTCTCAGTGGTCACTGGGCAACAAGTCCCAGAAGTTGCACTCTTTCAGATGCCAAGCTCAGAGGATCTTACAGATTCTTTGTGGAGTAGAAATTTGGGGAGATTGGCCTACCTGTCTTGGCAGAGTGGGACAATTGTTCCCCCATTGCTCCACTTATTCACATTCTGGACATGATTTCAGCAGCAGTTAAAGATGTAAATAAAGCAGCTTTTCACTGTGTGACTGGCTTTTTTAAATTCAGACAAGGGTCCAGGTGGAAGTTCTTCTGTGGCCATCCATCTTCTTGGAGAAGATACAGGATGCTTCCAGGAGTTGCCATGTCTCCCATAAAAAGCTTTTATATTAAATGGCATATTCTCAGATCTTAGAGAGTGTTTGAGAATGGGGGAACAAAATCTGTTAGGTATATCTAAATTAGACAAATTTTTAGGTTTAACTTTGAGGGCATATGTTGGTTAAATCTAAACATACAGTTTACCGAATTAGTTACAGTTTACCAATGTTAGTAAAAGCCAGAAGATTCAGTCTGTAGTTTTCAGTGGTGATCCTAAGATATATCAGACAAAATGAAGTATTAATTAACATTGCTAACAATTTATATTTCAATATCAATTGTCAAAACATGCATTGTTTTAAATCCTGTTTAATAAACCTTGATTTTAGGACAGGACAGAAATTTATCAAACAGAAATATATCCTAACTCAAATTATATTGGAGACCTAATGTTCCTTGGTGGGGCTAGTCCAAGTGGTTACCCTTACTAAAGATGGTGTTGAAGTATTTCTTTAAACTCAATCAAAATGGTGGCTGGTGATGTTCTTCAGAACAGTTTCAATCTGGAGTCACAAGCATTACAGATTTTAAAAATACCCAATTAGCAGGACACATTAAGGACATGTAAACTCAGGCATTTAAAACTAGTCAGAAACACACATGCGTGGCCACACCATTCACACATTTCCACCACACATAAAAAGTAAACAGGATCATTAACAGAAACAATTTTTTTTTAATGGGGATCCTAGCAGTTTGGGCAGCCTGATACCTGGATCCCAGAGAAGGCACTGCAGAGGGAAACTGAAAAACAGAAGCAGCACATGCTGCCCAGTTGAGTAAGTCAGAGCAGCAAGTTGAGAATTTTGGAAAAAGAGATTTTTAGGAGGGAAGAACGTGTAGCAGAGTGTATTGAAGTAGAACAGGTTTAAGGGTGGAGAGGGCAGGTATAATTTTAGGGATGGGGAGTATGGGAACAGGGACCCCCCACTGGGGTGCAGCGAGGTGGTGGTGGTGGTGGTGGTGGTGGTGGTGGTGGTGGTGGTGGTGGTAGAGGTAGTCGGGAAGGTGGTGGAGGCAGCGGTGG